AAATGTAATGTACTGGCCTGAAACAGACATCTTGAGATTTGGTGATTGTTTATAGCCCTTGTCTCTTCCATAAAGGAACAGCGTTTGGTTTAGTTTTGTTCTGTTTTGTTTTCTTTTTCTTCATACTATTTGTTGAGCTCCATTACTTAAAGTAGGGTTAACTAAATGATCATTAAGTATACTGAAAATAAATCATGGAAAGGTTAAGAGTGGGAATCTGAGATGGAGAGGGAGGAGAGGTTGGAGTTGGGGAGAGGGGCGGAATCCCACTATGTTCCTAAATTTGTATATATAAAATATATGAAACTTGTATAACTTAGATAAATTAAAAAAAACTGTACTTGCATATACTCTAAAAAGTCAGTGATTGGGGCTGATGCTATGGTATAACGGGTACAAGCTGCCTCCTGCAGTGCCGGCAACCCATGTGGGTGCCAGTCTGAGTCCCAACTGCTCCTCTTCCAATCCCGCTCTATGCTGTGGCCTGAGAAAGCAGAGTAAAATGGCCCAGGTCCTTGGGCCCTTGCACCCATGTGGGAGACCCTAAAGAAGCTCCTGGCTCCCAGCTTCAGAACAGCCCAGCTCCAGCCATTGTGACCACTTGGGGAGTGAATCAGCAGATGGAATCTCTCTCTCTCTTTCTGCCTCTGCCTTTGAAATAAATAAATAAATAAATAAATCTTTTAAAAAATGTCAATAATTAAAGGGTGGTGCTGTAGGTAGCAAGTTAAGCCACTGCCTGCAACACTGGCATCCCATATGGATGCTGCCTCAAGTTCTGTCTGAACCACTTCCAATCCAGCTCCCTGCTAATGCACCTGGGAAAGCAGTGGAGGATGCTACAAGTGCTTTGGCCCCTGCACCCACATGGGAGATCTAGGAGAAGCACCTGGCTGCTGGCTTTGGCCTGGCCAAGGCCTGGCCATTGTGATCACATGGGAGTGAAACAGCAGATGGAATATCTTGCTCTCTCTTTCTCTTTCTGTAACTCTGCTTTCAAATAAATAAAAATTAATATTTTTTAAAAAGTCAGTGATTAATCCAGGTTTGTTATTTTTAAAAAATGTTGCTATTTCCTATTACTCAGAATCACTCTCAACTGTTTTTGGTATTTACTTCCCTATCTGTAAATACTGTAAGTATATTGATACTTCTTGGTTTTTTTAACCATTATATACGGTCATCCTTTTATGAAAAACAAAGTTTGATCTCTTTCATACATCTAGCTCTGCCCATGTATATTATATATATTTCTTCTTCTCCTTCTTCTCTCCATTTATCATCCATCCACTCATACTTCCAAAATATTTCTATCATAATTTTGGATAATGCTACAAAGTTTATTATCACAGTGCAAACTCTCCTGACAGTTGGGCCATATAATCAACCACAATTATATTTCCTCCCTTAGATAACCTAATATTTTCTCTGGAATTAAGAACTATGATTGGTTTTGTTTTGGTTTTGTTTCTGGCTTATTTTTCTATGGAGTTCCTCATCTTCCAAACCCCTCACTGTCAGAATCTTCTCCCAACTCATCCAGATATGTCAGGCATGCTGCGAACTTGACGTTCTTACTCCTCTCCCCCGGAGCCTCCAATAGCTTCCCTCTGCCTGGCTATGCTGGGGACCTCCCTTTATCACTATCTTGCAGGTTTTTTTTTTTTTAATATTTATTTATTTATTTATTTATTTATGTCAAATGTAGAGAGACAGAGAGAGATCCATCTTCCACCCGCTGGTTCACACCCCAGATGGCCACAATGGCTGGAGCTGGACCAATCTGAAGCCAGGCCGAAGACAGCATTCAGGATTTTCTTCTTGATCTCCCACACTGGTGCAGGAGCCCAAGCACTTGTGCCATTCTCCTCTGCTTCCCCAGGCACATTAGCAGGAAGCTGTATTGGAAGTGGAGCAGCCAAGTCTCCAACAGGTACCCAAATGGGATGCTGGTATTGAAGGCAGCAGCTTTACTTGCTACACCACAGCACCGGCCCCCAGTAACATTTTGACACCATCTTCTTGAATGTCTATCAGTACTTTATTTATCATGCTGAGTAGTCTCAAATACACCACAATTTTTAAAAAGATTTTATGTATTTATTTGGAAGGCAGAATTATAGACAGAGAGAGGGAGAGACGGAAAGCTCTTCGTCTGCTGGTTCACTCTGCAAATGGCTGCAACAAGAGCTGGGCCAATCTGAAGTCAGGAGACAGACATTTCTTCCAGGTCTCCCATGTGTGTGCAGACGCCCAAGCACATGGGCCATCTTCCACTGCTTTCCCAGGACATAAGCAGAGAGCTGGATTGGAAGAGGAGTGGCTGGGACTTGAACTGGTGCCCATATTGAATGCCAACACTGCAGGTGGAGGCTTAGCCTGCTACACTGCAGCACTGGCCCCTGTTTGAGAATTTATACAACTCATTTTGTTCAATTCAAATTTTTTAATACTAAACTTGCTATATTTTATATAATTTTTTAATTTGTTTCATTAAGAGGCAGTGAAACAGAGAAAGAGACAGAGAGAGATACAGAGAGAGCTCCCACCCACTTGTTCACTCCCCAAATGCTAGGAATGAAACTGAGATCCAGGAACTCGATCTTGGTCTCACATATGGGTGGGAGGAGCCCAGTTACTTGAGCCATCACCTGCTACCTTCCAGGCTCCACATGAGCTGGAAGATAGAGTAAGGAGCCAGAGCCGGGACTCAAATCCAGATACCCTGATGTAGCACGTGGGACTTTTAGCACCAGGTCAAACAGCTGCCCCTCAATTCACTTTTAAAGCACTCAAGAGAACCTTTCATGTCAATAAAATAAATCAGAAGTATCCATTTTTTATTTATCACTTTAATTCTAAAACACACAGATCATCTGAAGCATGATTAATCTGAGCCTTTGTGTACTCCAGAACTGACTGGAGTGATCCAGAAGAGTATTTCCCAACTGCGGTTAATCATCAGCATTCCCTGAGGACCTTGGCGTTGGTTCTTGGGCTCTGCCCTAAACCTAAATCCAGTAAGTTGCACTATTTCTAGTGGAAGGGTTTCAATTCACTAGGCGTGAGGAACCTGTTTTAAGTGCTCACCGAGGTGATTCTGATGCTGCTTCAAGTTGGAGAAACACAGTGTGCAGCAGGTTTCAGCACCAGAGTCATTGCACAATGACATCGGGGTGACTGGAGACGCTCCGCCCTGGGCGGGGCATCTGCTGACTCCCCGCTAGATAAGGTCAGCCCCACCGATGGCGGCTCAGCCTCTTCTCTGTCCTCTTGCTCCTGGCAATACTTACTGATTTCTTGCATGGTGTTTCACAACACCCCAACTCCAGGAGACAGAAATTGAAAGACCGATATTCAAGAATATCACTATCTCAGGTTCATGCCATATTCCTCTGTTTCCTCGACATATGAAGGAAATGGTGTCATTAAATATAATTATCCAAATCCTGAAAAACAGGCAGAAGGACAACTGTGTATGTTTTCACTGTCTTTCTAGACCCTTGTCTAACAGGCTCACCTAAAAAGCATCTCACTGTCTATACATATATACATCTTCTCTTGATTTACTACTTATTAACTTATAGAAAACAAAACAAATAACTTGTGGTTTTTGTTCAGCAATGATGCAAATAACATCCATCTAGCAGAAGAGATCATGCCTGAAATTGGTAACTCAAGAAAGGGAGGTATGAGAGGACTATGAAAGATTCATGGAAAATGCAAGATGAAGATATTTTACTATGTAACAAATTTTGAAACCTATGCATACTGTTTTCCTCTTTTAAAGATTTATTTGGGGGGGGGGCGGAGCTCAGTGCTGTGGGGTAGCGGGTAAAGCCGCTGCCTGCAGTGTTGGCATCCCATATGGGTACCGGTTCAAGTCGCAGCTGCTCCACTTCCCATCCAGCTCTCTGTGGCCTGGGAAAGCAGTGGAGGATGGCCCAAGTCCTTGGGCCCTGCGCCCACTTGGGAGACCTGGAGGAGGCCCCTGGCTCCTGGCTCCTGTCTTCAGATCGGTGCAGCTCCAGCCATTGCGGCCATCTGAGGAGTGAACCAGCAGATGAAAGACCTCTCTCTCTCTCTCTCTCTCTCTCTCTCTCTCTCTCTCTCTTTCTCTCTCCGTCTCTCTCTGCCTCTCCTCTCTCTGTGTAACTGTGACTTTCAAATACAATAAATAAATATTTTTTAAAAAAAGATTTACTTAGGGATTGGCATTGTAGTACAGCAGGTAAAGAAGCCTCCTGTGACGCCAGCATCTCACATGGACAGCAGTTCGTGTCCTAGCTGCTCCACACCCAGTCCAGCTCCTTGCTAATGTTCTGGGAAAGCAGCCAAAGATAGCCCAAGTATGTGGGTCTCTGTCACCCATGTGGGAGACCCAGATTAAGCTGCCGGCTCCTGGCTTTGTCCTGGCCGATCCCCAACTGTTACAGCCTTGTGGGAAGTGAACCAGTGGATGGAGGATTTTTCTCTCTCTGTCTCTCCTTCTCTCTCTGTTGCTCTGCCTTTGAAATAAAATTTTTCATAAAATTTTGCTTGAAACGCACAGTGGCACACAGAGAGGGTGAGATGAACATAGAGCGATCTATCTGCTGGCCCATTCCCCAAAAGGCCACAACAGCCAGGACTAGGCCAGGCAGAAGACAAGGGCCAGGAACCCCATCGGGATCTCCTACATGCATTACACGGACCCAAGTACTGGAGTCATCCCCTGCTGCCTCCCAGGGCATTAGCAGGGAGCTGGGTTAGAAGCATGGAGTAGCCTGGACTTAAAACCATGCTCAGATATTGGATGCAAGCATGCCAATGGTGACTTAACCCACTGAACCACAATCCTTGTATACTTATTTTTTTTCACAGTATGCCTTTTCCATGAACTCTTTGAAAACTCCAGTAAAAGCACAAAACTAGACACATGGAGGAAAATAGAAGAAAAAGAGATGTTGCCTCATGGAAAACAGGCCTGGGGCAGAGGAGTAAGAAGTATTAGACAAGTATTACTTTGGTAGGAATATCTCCTTAAAACTTTATGCTTTTTTAAATCTAAGAAACAAAAGGTAACGTTTTGTTGAAACACATAATTAATTTGCAACTTTGCTCTCAGCACTCTGTGGACAGCATCCTCAGGCCCTGTGTGCAGCTACTCAGAGTAACCAGGCAGTGTCTTCAGGTCCAGGTTCAAGGAATAACCCCTGCCCTTCAACCTATTTCTAATAGTTCTAATATTATTCATTTCTCCTTGGATTCCAAAAACCTCTCTCCAGGTGCATCCAACCCACTCTAGCACTCGGTTGATAACAATCCAAAGCAACCAAATTTTTCAATGAATGTTAGCTTGGAGCTCATGCTACCCAAATGCAAAAGTAAATGATAGGTGTGAAAGTCAAGTGTGGACCAGGCCAACCATCTGACACTGAGGGCGCTGCTGCTCACAGGGGCCTGACATGGTTTCACATGCCGTGGTAGAGTTTGCCTTGGGAGCCGGGCTGCTTCAGTTTGAGAGGAGAGCCTTAACTAGCCCATGCCTCCTGTCTCTGAGACCACGTTCTGGTCTTCGTCACCATGAAGTCATTACTTCTTCATCCACACAGCGAGATGATTACAGTAACCCTCTCAGCAGCGGTGTGAAACGTCACTGAGATAACACAAATAAAAACATGCTGGGGACTAGACCATTTAAGACAAAGATCTCCAACCACGCTGCTACATCCAGGCTGAATTCAAGCCTTTAGATCTAAATTGAAGGCAGTGTTGTACAATTTCCCCTGGTTTGAAGTCAGGAAGATAGGCTGGCCCTTCTTGAAGGAGGCGATGAACCAGCCGGGGAAGGCCACGGACTCGAAGGTGGAGGTCCTGCCCGTCTGCATGTGATAGAACAGGAAGGGCTTCACGGGCTCAGTGTGGTTATACAGGTCCAGGATCTCCTGCTCCTGGAAAGAGAGGGGCGGTTCCCATGAGGAGAAACAGAAGCTGCCCGGGGTGGCCTAGGAAACTCATTTCAAGGGAGCAGAGAAGGATGAAGAGACACAAAATCTCATCTTCCCGGCTCCTCCTTTCCCATCCAGAACCGTATAAGCAGGACGTAAGGGACATGTCAATGAACATGTAGCCACAACAGTGACAGCCACGATGCCGCAAGGACAACTTCTATGGCAAAAGATGGCCAGGTTGAAGGTATGAATCCCTGACCCGCTGCCCAACACAGGAGAAAGGTCAGCAACATGAAAACAACACAAGAGGGTCTAATGATCAAAGGAACAAAGCCAATAGAGCAATCATAAAATGGCTTACATTTTATATACAGAAGTACAGCTTGCATGTATGTATATTTGTACATTATATATTGTATATTTAGTATTGCTAAGTATTGAGTATATCTAAGTAATTATATACGTGCAAGATCCTGGGAGAGACGTGGAAATGGTGTGCAATTCAGCTTCATCCTATCCTGAATCGACTTCGTTTATTTCTGACTCTTAGGGCGGTCACAAATACAGGAGTCACTCTTGATACCTCTCTCTTTCATCTCCCAACCTCTAACTTAGCAGCAAGGCCTCCTGACTCTATTTCCAGAACGTTTCCTGAATTGAGTCACCTCTCACTTCTCACCATCCCCTGCATTCACACACACAGCCAGCCCCTGATCCAGGGCATCACACCTCTGGCCTGGATGATTGAGACGACCTTCTACCTTTCTCCTAGGACAAACTCTACTCCTAGGACGTATTCTACTGACCATTCGTTGGGAGCCAGAGATCATCCTGGAGCCAGAGAGACCTTTTAAGAAATAGGACTGGGGGCTGGTGCTGTGGCGCAGCAGGTTAAAGCCCTGGCCTGAAGTGCCAGCATCCCATTTGGGCGCCGGTTCTAGTCCCGGCTGCTTCTCTTCGGATCCAACTCTCTGCTGTGGCCTTGGAAAAAAAGTGGAAAATGGCCCAGATCCTTGGGCCCCTGCACCCATGTGGGAGACCTAGAAGAGGCTCCTGGCTCCTGGCTTCAGAACGGCACAGCTCTGGCTGTTGCAGCCATCTAGGAAGTGAACCAGCAGATGGAAGACCTCTCTCTCTGTCTCTACCTCTCTCTGTAACTCTGTCTTTCAAATAAATAAAATGAATCTTAAAAAAAAAGAAAGAAATAGGACTGAGAGCATCAATCTTCTATTCAAAATTCTCAGAGCTTCTCATTTCCTTAAGATTGCAAGCTAAGTCCTTACAAAGTGCAGCCAGGGAGGGACCCGTGGCCTGCCTTGAAGTTTCTGAACACCTCCTTCTTCCATTCACTCCTGCACTCCTGTCTTCCCTGGTTCTGGAACTTGCCTCATTGGACACCTGCATGACTAACTTCCCTGCCTCCTTCTGCTCTCTGCTGAAACTTCACCTACACAGTGACACCCACTGCGCTACTCATCCCTGCAGCTCTCCTCCACTGTCTCTGGCACTGACTTTATCCTGCTCGAATTGTTCTTTCCCAGGACACACAACACTTTAATATATCACAAATGTGCCTACTATCATATTTACTCTATTTTATTTCCCTGCTCCCACTAGGATCCCAGACCCACAGGGGCAGTGCTCTTTGCTTCGGTACACAGATTCTTCTCAAGCTCCTATATGGTGCTGAAGGCCATTAAGTACACACATTTGCTGAACTGTATTGAACTGAATTTAATCAAGTAAATTAAACTGAAGTTCATGGAACAAGAACAGATTATATTAGAGGGTACTTCAAAAAGTCTATGGAAAATGGAATTGAAAGGTAGGTTTATTTGGGGGAAAAATTGAAAACCAGGCATATATGTGGGATCTTCAAAAAGTTCATGAGAATGTGAATTATGAAGAAATTATGCATTAATCTCAAAAAGAGTTTTGTATCAAAATAAACTTAACACCTAATTCCACTTTCCACAAGCTTTTTAAGTATTCACATATGCATAAAATCAAACAGAGAGTTAGGAAATAAAATAATAAAGATTGGAATTTCATAAACTACTATAGAAGGATGATTTAGCATATGGCAAAAAACTGAAAATGCTACCATGAATTGAGAAATTGAATCAATAAATTCTCCTAGAATGTACCCCCAAAATGAAAGCAGTGAAAGCATAGAAAATATGGAAACCTAGATGAGACGTTAGAGTGAGATCTAGGAGTTCCAGTAGCCAATGAATATAAGTTCCAAAAGGAGACATACAAGTAGAATTAGGGAGAGAACATGCTTGAAGAAAAAATGCCAGGAAAATCTAAACTGGGGAGGCAAATCTAAATTTAGCAAGCAAAGGATAAATTAAAGTCTACTGGGAATAAGTAGGCCTAGGAAAGTGAAAATATTTCCCTTTTAATTCTGAAATTAGATCTACCAAATAAACTTCATCTCACAGAAAAATTTTATTTTCATGTCATTTTTCTTAGTCACTCACTTTCAGCTGCAATGTGGGTTGTCCTCCAGTGTCCTCACAGAACAGACACATTTTTGGATTCTGGATTCCCAGATAAATGGGAACCCCTTTGCCTTGCTCAAGAGCCTCCGGATACTTGCACGGCATAACAGTGATGGTGACTGTGAAGATAAAAGGGGGAACGTGGTGTCAGTTTCCTTTTGAAGTCAGGAAAGACTCTTTAATCCAGCAGGACAGTATCTTCCAGACAGGGGCTGGAAGACCTGAAGAATGTGACTCTTACTACTCTGGACCTACTAAATAGCCACCCATTCATTGATCCACCCATTCATACTATGTGCCAATCGCTGCCCTAGTAAATGGAATCAATGTGGAGTCAAACAGATGGAGGGCCCCGCCCTTGAGATTTTTACACCTGCGATTGACAGGAAGCTCCTTCCCCCAGCAGATCCTTGCCTCCTTGTGAACTCTGTCCATCAGCAAGTTTTGCCTAATGTGATGCTGGATCTTCCTTCCTGTGGTGTCCCCTTCATAGTCCTTCTAGGGCACCTGAGGTCATTCGGGACAAACCACTCCTCTCCTGTAGGACAGAGCCGCTGCTGGAAGCTCCTCTACCATCTCTCACTTCTTTAGCCTAAGGCAAACCTCTCCTAGTCTTCCCTTCCAGGCAAGGGTGAAATTCTCCCCAGTCCAGGCTGGCCCTGGTATAAAGCCATGCATTTTTTGACACATAATTGTGCATATTTGTGGGGTACCTTGTGATGAATCAATAAATGTATACATTATATAATGACCAGCTCAGGGTAATTAGCATACCCATCAGCTCACACATTTGTCATTGCTTTGTGGTAAGAGCCATCTGACATCTCTCCTCTAGCTATTCCGGAGTACACAATACACTATTATTAACTGTAGTCATCCTACTGTGCAACAGAACACTACCACGTAGGCTTCCACAAAAGGCCACACCCAGGTGAGGAGCAGGGCAGCCACAGGATGTCTACTCACCTGCTGCCGCGTTGCTACTCCTTGGAACTGTCACCAGGGTCTGGCCCTGGAGGATCCACACTTGCTGATCCAAATCGGAGAGCTTCCCAACGTAAGGCTCACTCATCGCTGTTTGGGTAAATAAAAAAAAAAAAAAAAAAAAGCTATGATGATCAAGGCTGCCTTCCTAGATGCTGGGAGAAAGATCCTCAGGTTCAAGTCCTTCAGAAAGGAAGGTCAGGGTTTACAGCGGTGCTCATGCAACCCATCAATCCAGCCTTTGTTTCCAGAAAAGCTGTGGGTTCAAGTAAGGAGGGCAAGGGCCACCAAGGATGAGGACTGGCTTAAAATGGCACACTGTCAAGGCCAAGGTAATAAGCAGTCTCAAACGCATGTGTGTCAAGGCCCAGCCACTCAATTTCGTGCTGCTCTGTGCTTGGCCCAGTGCTAGAGACTACAGCTAGAGCTGTGAGTGAGCAACAGTGCCCACCCTCCAGAAGCTCCCAGCATAGCAGCCAGGTGGACAACACCCAGCGTGATGGCCAGACACAGGGAAGGGCAGAGTATAGTGGGGTGTCCAGAGGATCGGCTATGAGCACGTGGTCCAGACCTCCAGATCCCCATCCAACGTCACCTCCATGGATTTGTTGTCCAGCACCTGACATAGTGCAGCTGTCTCAGCACCTGTGGGGACAGATACAGGAGAGATTAACCTCAGGAGATGTGTCCAGACTTTTCTAGGATGCTGGTTTCTTGGGCCCTCATTCTAGACAGGGAGCTGGATGCCTGGCTTGACATGAAGCTCTAGTCAGAAGATCTGAGCTACCTCCCAGGACAAAACTTCAAGGTAGCCTCAGGGAAGGGAAATCAGACAGAATTTTCCTGCACCTGGAGATCCGGTCAATGAGAACATCTCCCTAGCAGCTCCAAGGCCAGGCATGGATCTGACCACAAATACCCCCATGGGTCCTGATGCCAGTGTCTCCTCCTACCAAAAGAACCCTTTCCTTTACTGGCTTCGGTTTCTAACTAGGGGAAGGATCTCCCAGGATCCCAGCAAATCCCTGGTGAGAAACAATGAGCCCCATGCAGGACAAGGCCTGGTGCTGGTCTGGTGTGGTCCTATCCCTTAGTTGTGCCCCAAAGCACAGAAGGCCCCAGAGAGAAAGAACTTTCCAGCTATCAGCACACCTGGCAAAGAAGGGTCTTAATCAGAAGTCCAGGAGACTGAACCACAGTTCCAGCAGCTTCCAGGAGCAGTGTTGGGCTCTGAGAGAGCCTGGATCTTTTATCTGGAGGAGCAGAGGGAGTGGCTTAAGCTTCCTTGGTGGGTGCGACAGTATGACATAAAAGCGATCTGGTTCCTCCTGCGAGAAAATTCCATGCAGCTCAAGTGAAGAAATTGCAGATTCAGCACGGGTATGACCTGCTTTGGCTCCCTGAGAAATCACTGTTGAGTCAAGCCCTACAAGATCAACTACAGTGAAAGAGAGTTGATGACTGACCCCGGGTTTCTCAAATAGGGGAGGCTAAGGGACTTCCCCCAGAGCTCAGCTCTCCTGTGTCACTATGGGGCTAGGACTGGAAATGCTAGCCACCCTGTGACAGGGACTCTTGGGGCTGGGAGTCCAGCCTTCTACAGTCAGGCTGAGCGGATCCTGTGGGAGTAAAATTACCTGTATGCTTCAGGCAAGATCCATATGGCATTGCTGGTCACCTAACTACTTCACATCAGGCCAACCTGAATGGGAGGATCAGGTTGAAGGTCCTCACTAACCCAACTACCTAACACTCTTTTAGCCCCTCAGAGATGCACTCCTCCACTTGGGAACCACAAAGATGGAGCCAACCTGGTCTCAGCTCCTACCCCTTCCCCCAATACAATTGACTCCAGACTGCCTAAGGACTACGGAAATGGGCAGTGATTCCTCCAAAAACTGAGTCCCAGAGCCCAGTGTGTTCCCATCTCCTTAAACCAGGACCTGTGCATCCTTCTAGTGAGTAGGAATGGTTATTTTTATATCATACTTGTCATACACACCCCCATCCCATCTGCTATAGTCAAGCATAAAAATTTGCCAAGGCATGAGTTAACCTGACTGAAGTCAATTTCAGGAGAGAGACTAGAAGCACTTATGGTTCCAAATTCACCTGTCTCTCTTGGGGAGAAGCTGCCAAGAGGGAGATGGAACTTCCTAGACATGCTCCTCTACGAGCCCCTCTTCCCAGACCTGAAGAGTCACCTTACGCAACTCCTCTTGCTTTCCACCCCATCTCTTCTCCAGCCTTGAGAACCATGGTCCTTCCCTGTGAAGGCCCCAATCCTAATTCTTTTTGCTTCCAGTTTATCTGTTACCTTAAGAGAAAGTATAATAGTGAATTCAGACTCAAATGACAGTTAAATGCACTTTGTTTCAAGTTGGGCTTGGCTGGTGTCCCCTCTCCTGAGCCCCCACTGCCCAGAAGAAAAGCCCTTCCATCATGCATCTGTCAACATATCTCCTTTCTTGGGATATTAATCACAAAACAGCATCTGAAATATCCCATCGTCTTATCACCAAACCCCTCTGTCTCCTTTTCAGTCAGGATCCAGACAGGAGAGCAGAACCCACACAGGGAATTGCAAACAAAGGAAACCAGATATAAAGTATTGGGTACATGCCTGTTTCAAGGCAAAAGAACAAAAAGGAATTGCAGGAAGGTAACAAAACAACCTAGGAACCCAAAGGAGGAATCTTGTAGGACTAATGCCCAGATCGCAGGGACAGAGGTGGGGGACTCACTGCCAAATTGATGCTCAGACTTTTTTTTTTTTTTTTTGACAGGCAGAGTGGACAGTGAGAAAGAGAGACAGAGAGAAAGGTCTTCCTTTGCCGTTGGTTCACCCTCCAATGGCCACCGTGGCCAGCACACCCTGCTGATCCGATGGCAGGAGCCAGGTACTTATCCTGGTCTCCCATGGGGTGCAGGGCCCAAGCACTTGGGCCATCCTCCACTGCACTCCCGGGCCATAGCAGAGAGCTGGCCTGGAAGAGGGGCAACCGGGACAGGATCCGGCGCCCCAACTGGGACTAGAACCCGGTGTGCCGGCACCGCAAGGGGGAGGATTAGCCTAGTGAGCCACGGTGCTGGCCTGCTCAGACTTCTGAAAAGGAAGCTCACTGTGGATCCTTGAACCACAAAGGTGGAGGGGAGGGGCAACCAAGAGATGCTCAGAGGGCCCAAGGGACACAGCCCAGAGAGCTGCATTTTCATTGATTCAAAACCTTTGAGGATAGCTTGAATATTTCTTGCCCAGACAAAAGTTGCAAAAACCTGTGCTGTATGATGACATGTGTCCTCTTGTTCTACTTGGTCTTTGCCTTTATTTATTTATTTTTATTTAAAGATTTTTATTTATTTACTTGACAGGTAGAGTTACAGACAGTGAGAGAAAGAGACAGAGAAAGGTCTTCCTTCCGTTGATTCACTGCCCAAATGGCCGCCACGGCCGGAGCTATGCCGATCCAAAGTCAGGAGCCAGGTGCTTCTCCTGGTCTCCCATGCGGGTGCAGGGGCCCAAGCACTTGGGCCATCCTCCACTGCCTTCCCGGGCCACAGCAGAGAGCTGGACTGGAAGAGGGGCAACTGGGACAGAATCCGGCGCCCATATGGGATGCCACGCCACAGGCGGAGGATTAACCTAGTGCGCCACCACGACGGCCCCTCTAACTTGGTCTTTGCCTTTCAATAGCTTCCAGCTCTTCCCCAAATTTCCAGCACCTGGCATCCGTTCTGAAGTTCCCTGTTCAAACTTGGAGAAATTAGTAAAAATAGGAATTTACTAGTTATTTTCTATCACTATAATAAGATATCTGAAGCTATAAATAAGAGGTTTATTTAGCCTAGAATACTGGAAGCTGAAAGTCTGAAACTAGGTATTCCTAACAATTTTGACTTTGCTGAGGGTCTCACGGCAGGTGCATCACAGTGGTGGTGGCAAGGGTACAAGAATGATCACATGGGAGCCAGAGAGTGGGTAGGGTCCACCATATCCTCTTACAACAGCCCTCCTTCAGGAACTGACTAGGGACAAGTAGATACTATGATAATCCCTCCTGAGGGCAGAGACCCCAGTAACCTAACCCCTTACCATTAGGCTCTACCTCTTAAAGGCCCCACCACTCCCCAACACCACCAAACTTGTAACACATGAGCCCTTGGGGAGCACATCCAACTCATGCCCAAACCATAGCAAAGAGTGATAGTGATAGAACGGGAAGCCAGGAACAATTGGGATTGATAATTAAAGAGCAGAGAGCCCACCCTACTGAAGAAATGACTAGAATTTGTATCTGAAAATAGAAAGAATAAATAATATAATTATAGAGTACCCTAGCTATACTTGAGAAAACTGTCACTATTGATGCTGATTATGAAGAGAACCTAGCTCAACACAAACCAGTTTCAGATTCTTTCACTGATGTTTTATTTTCATGCAGAACAATGACAGTGATGCACATCATTAAGTATGGCTTCAACTGATGGCCAGTAAGTACTCAAAAGGTCAATTTCCTAGATATGGAAATGATTGTAAGGGAAAACAGTCCAGATTCCAATTTTCAAGCTCTAAGGTTATATCATCCTCATTTGTTTGGTAATTATCCTTGTTAATTTGCTAACATAATGTGCTCATGACCTTATTAAGTCAAGAAAACACCACAGGAAACAAGGTTGGGTAAGAGAACTTGCTTATTCACCACCACACAAGCTCTAGAGTCTCTCCATGGATGCCAAATCTGTAACATATTATTCAGGTAACCAGGCTGACAATCATGACTGATAAAGTAAAAGGGATTATGAAGCAGCAGTTTATCTGGCCCCAATACTTGCCAGCTACACAGAAACAAGTTAGTAGTAGAAGTAGACTTAGAATTTACAATTCCCAACACCAAACTCAAGGCTGTCTGCTTGGGTGCTCAACAATTCCCTTGAGGTTCCAAAGAGGACCAAACCAATGGTACCTTAGGCCCAATCATGAGTACCTGCAGGGGCCAGTGTTGCAGTACAATGGGTTAAGCTCCCACCTGCACTGTTTCATCCCATAGCAGAGTGCTGGTTCGAGTCCTGAATGCACTGCTTCCATTCCAGCTCCCTGCTAACGTGCCTCGAAAAGCAGAGGAAAATGTGCTGACGACCTGGGCCCCTGACACCCAAGTGGGAGACTCAGATGGAGTTTTAGATGCCTGGCTTTGGTCTGGAATAGCCCCAGCTGTTGTGGCCATCTGGAAAGTGAACGAGCAGATGGAAGATTTCTTTCTCTCTCTGTCCTTTGCATACCTCTCTGTCACTCTGGCTTTCAAATAAATAAAACGAATCATTTTTTAAAGAGCTGCTACAAACAGGTCTGGCAGTCTGGCCTGAGGATTCCCACTGAAAAAGAGCTGAAATTTACCTCAGTTGATACAATGGGGCAATGTGGTATACACCAAGCATCACAGAAACCAACTGGGCCATTTGTACTGTAGTAGACTTGGAGACATGACAAGGAAATTCATGGGGCAGTCTCTGTGGTGGAACCTTTATCCCATGTAGAATTCTCAAGGGCCTCTGCTCCTCCAAGCAACCCAAGTCCATTGTCCAGGACTTGCCCATTGTGGGCTGATCCATTACATCTCCCTGAAGCTAGTCTCCATGGAACTCTAGACTTTAGGATGTGGGCCAACATGGTATATTTTTAAAAAACGTTTATTTATTTATTTGAAATTCAGAGTTACACAGAGAGAGACGAGGCAGAGAGAGAGAGAGAGAGAGAGAGAGAGGTCTTCCATCTGCTGGTTCACTTGCTAATTGGTCGCAACGGCCAGAGCTGTGCCTATCTGAAGCCAGGAGCCAGGAGCTTCCTCCAGGTCTTCCCACGCGGGTGCAGGGGCCCAAGGATTTGGGCCATCCTCCACTGCTTTCCCATGCCATAGCAGAGAGCTGGGTCAGAAGTGGAGCAGCCAGGACTCGAACCAGTGCCCAAATGGGATGCTGGCACTGCAGGAGGCAGGTTTACCCACTATGCTATAGCGCCAGCCCCCAGCATGATATTTAACAGCTTCCTCTCCCTTGTGTGAAAATGAATGACAAATTAGAACAATAATTTCATCAATATTCATCAAAACGGCAGAAATAAATAGAAGCATTAGAAGAGTGAAGAACCAAACCGTTCAAGACCTTCATAAAGTATATTTTTCTAAATTTAAAATAGCTATCAAATGGTATACTTATGAGCAACAACAGTGCTAGAGAAAAAAGTGCCTTACTTGGACAGC